TCAACAACACATTCTTCAAATAATAGGTAAGAGAAGAAATCCAAAGGGAAATTTAAAAATACTGAGAAACAAAAATAACACAATATATCAATGCTTGTAGGCTGGAATGAAAGTAATGATCAGAGCAAATTTATAGTTGTAAATAACCATAGTAAAAAACAATAGCTGAGAAAGTAATTCAGTGGTGGAGCACTTGCCTAGTACACATGAAGGCCCTGGGTTCAATCCAAAAAAAGAAAAGAAAAAAGAGAAAGAAAAAGAAAGGAGAGAGAGACACAGACAGACAGACAGACAGATAGACAGAGACAGACAAAGAAAAAGGATCTCCAACCAATAACCAAAACTTTATACCTACAGAACTAAGAAAAAACTTAATGAGCCCAGGTATAGTAGTGGGAACCTGTAATTCCTGCGACTAGCAAGCAGAGGAAGTATTGTTTCAAGAAAACAAAGGTTAGCCTAGGCAATGTAGTGAGATGGTGTCTCAAAACACACATACACATATACACATACAAACAAAATACAATGAAACAAAAAGTTGATTTTTGAAAAGATCGATAAGAAACTAAGGACAGATTATCTGAACTAGAGGGCAGATTTGTAATATGGGAGCATGAAATGAAAAACTTCCTAAAAATAACAAAGAAACGAACAGCAATAATACAAAGACTAGAAGATGATAAGAGAATCTATAACTTAAGAATTAAGAACATAAAAGAAGAAGTAGGGACACAAACAAATGAACTACAAAAGCTACTCACAGAAATAATCCAGGAGAATTTTCCTAATTTAGCAAAAGGTAAAGATACTCAGTTGTATGAAGCATACAGGACCCCAGCCACCTACAACCCAAACAGAGTAACACCCAGGCATTTAATAATTAAAATTCCAGAAATCCAATACAAGAACAGAATATTAAAAGCCGTCAGAGACAAGAAACAGATCACTTACAAGGGAACACCCATCAGAATTACAGCAGATTTCTCGTCACAAACCATCAAATCATGAAGAGCGTGGGGGGAAATAATTCAAGCTTTGAAAGATAATAATATCCAGCCAAGATTGATATATCCTGCACAACTATTCCTGAAAATTGATGGAAAAACAAGGTGTTTCCAGGATAAAGAGGAACTAGGGGAATATGCAACCACCAATTCAACTCTACAGAGAATACTGCAGGATATTCTAAAAAAGAAAAATACACAGAATCCAGAAATAGTGGCAGAGAGGCCACAATGAATGCAGCAGAAAACAAAATGAAGAAGACAAACTGACAACTAATGACAGAAAAAGAGCTCAACAGAAATGAGGCAGAGAAGATTGGATGATAGGAACAGCTATTTTGGAAAAAATGACGTCATAATAGGTAATACTGATTTAGTATCATCTTGTTTTGAAGTCTCATCAAGCTTTTGTTCTTCTGTCTCCATTGGTCTAAACAGGTTGTATCTTATTGGATTTTATTATATATGATAGTATAAGCAAAACCTTTTATAGACAAGGAGATTATACAGAAACCATTGTTCATTTTCTGTTAGTTGATTTTAAATAGCCTGTAATACTGTCATTCTCTTAAATGGTTTTACATTGTTTTGATATATTTGATGCTACAGTATACAAAGTTATACTCAAAGATTTCAAGGAAAGAGACAATATGGTAACTAATTTTATGTCAGGATAATCTTGTGGTGAAACACTATTTTGCTTAAATGGTTATGTTTTGATCTGCACTGTTTTGCTGTTATGCTCTCTTTTATCTCAATCTCCATTTTATTATTTACTTTATTTTTTTATCCTTTTAATTAAGGGAAAAATAAATTAAAAAATAGAAGGATATATTATAGTAACCCACTTTGACTTTCTATTATCTTGATTTAAAGCTCTCTTGATTTATTGCTCTCACCATCTTGTTTTGACTGATGTCCTTCTATTCTGTTTTGCTTGATAGTACCAGGTTCAAAAGTTTAGGCAACAGCTGTGAAGATAGTGGGATTCATTATGACGCCCATTCTGGTTGACTATTATCTACTTTTGAAGACCTATAATGTCTCCAATGTTTTGGTTTTGTCGGTTTTGTTCTTTACTGTTTTGTTCAATTTTATTATAACTGATGATATAGGCAATTCTATTAGAGATAGCGGGAGGCATTATGGTAACCATTGTTGATCACCTTGTATTATGCTTCTACATTATCTATTATGTCCACCCTTTTGATTTGACTGACTCTGTTCTGTTATGTCACATTTGGTTCTACTCCCTTCCAAAAAAGTAATAAGAACTGTGGGAGCAACAAAACCCAAAATGTGTAATTGTCATTGTACAAAAGAGAGGAAAAGAAAGTGCTCTAAACGCTATAACTGCGTGTATATATAAGTGTATAAGATAGATAATGATATCACTGAGTTTTGTTGGATCATTGAACAGAACTGTTTGCAGTCTCACTGTTGGAATGTCCACTTTATAAGCTTTAATTTTGTAACTTGAACAATTATTTCTAAGATGACAATATGTAATCCATTAACTAGTGATTTCCTACTGTTTATTTTTTTCTGTAAATCTGTGTAATTGTACCCTTTCTCTGCTTTTTTTCTTTTTCTCCTTAAATAAAATTTAAAAAAAAAGAAAAGATCGATAAAGCACTTCAACTACTTATGAAGAAAAAAAAGAACACAAATAACTATAATCACAAATCAAATATACAGTACTATCAGCATTACAAATTAAGAGAGTTATGAAACTATTATGAACAAATCTAGCCCAACAAATCAGGTTATCTAAGGAAAAATGGACAAATTTTTCAAAATTCAGATTGGCACACATCTGTAATCCTAACAGTCTTTAGCTGGGCATGACAATTGTGAATCTGAGCTCAGCCTGGAGAATTTAGCAGGACCCTGTCTGAAAATAAAATAATCAAAAAGGACTGGGGGTGTAGCTCATTGTGAAAGTCCTGGGTTCAATCTCCAGGACAGAGGAGGTTAAAGGGAGAGGGAAGAGACTAGGGAGAGATTGACTCACTAATTAACCCCACTCCTAGCACACAGACACACACAGTCCTGTACCAGATGATTTCATCAATGAATTTTATTAAACCTTTAGGGAACAATTTTTTCAGTCCTTCTGAAACTCTTGAAAAAAAAAAAAGAGGATAAGATACTTTTTAACACATTTTATGAGGCAGAAGTACTCTGATAGCAAAGATAAATACATCATAAGAAAATTACAGATTAACATTCCTTATGAATATAGATGGAAAAACAATCAACAAAACATTAAATAAATAAAGTCCCATCCATTGGCCCAATTTGGTGGCACACACTTGTAATCTTAACCCTTGGGAGGCTGAGCAGGAGGACTGCCACAAATTAAAGGCCAGCTTGGGCTACATAGTGAGTTCAGGATCAGCTTTAACTGCATAGCAAGGCCACATCTAAAAAAAAAAAATCCTCATCCAGAAGCATATAGTAAAATAATTCAGGATCAATGAGATTCATACTCGTAAAGTTCGGTATAAAATAAATCAATTTAATACATCACAGTAATGGAATAAAGAGGAGCATCCAAATTGGTTAGGAATAGGCATGTGAAAGAATCCAGCATCATCTCATGATTATCATCTCTTAGAAAATTAGAAATAGAGGCAAAATTCCTAAACATGTTAGAAGAATCTTGAAAAATACACAGTATGCAAAACATTACACTTGATGGTATTACACTTGAGATCAAACGCTTTCGCCTGTATTAACAGATATTAGATATGCAAAAGAAATTAAGAGCATCCAAATTAAAATAGAAGAGATAAAATGATTTATATTCACAAATAACATGTAGAAAACCCTAAAGATTCCACAAGAGAACTACTGAAGCTAGTAATCAAAGTTGGCAAAGTTGCAGGGCATGAGACCACACAAAAATCAGTTGTTTCTCTACAACAGCAATGAACAATATGAGAAGAAAATCAAAGAAACAATTCCAACTAAAATATTATCTAAATGAATTAAACATGCTGAAAACTAGACAGCCGAGTGAGATTAATGAAGATGTAAAGATATATCATGTTCATAGACAGGAAGACAAAATCCTTACGTTGCCAACAATGTTCAAAGCAACCTACAAATTCAATACAATCCCTATTCCCAAAGTCTTTGCAGAGAAATGGAAGGCCCATCCTCAAATTCGTATCAAAGTACAAAACACCCCCAAACAGCCAAGGCAGCCTTTACAACTCCAAAACTTGCTACAAAGATAGCTACATAACTAAAATATGGTGCTAGCGAAAGGGCATGCAGATTACTAAACTACAGACAGCCCAGAAAGTACATATTTTTTTTCCCCAGTGGATTTGAAAGGTTCCAAGACCATTCACCTGGCAAAGAAAATGATCTCTGCAACAAGTGATGTTGGGAAAACTGGCGATTAATATGGAGTAGAATGAAGTTGGGTAGTACTATAGTGATGATTGCAAAACATTGTGAGTGAATTTAATGTCATTGAACTTAACAGAAATGATTAAATTGACAAACATCATTTTGATGATAATAAATAGCTCCTCCCAAGAAAGATTTTAAAAATTCAAGTGAACATTTGGATTGGCAAGGAAAGAAAAAGGGCGCTAGAACGATACTCAAATTTTCTGGTCAGGGACCGGGATTTAGTTCAGCAGGCTCAAAATGCTTGCCTGGTACGCGTCATATGTTGGATCCCTGGTACTAAATAAAAAATTTTTCCCTCGTCGGGTGCAATGTGTGCACAGTGCCGTACACCAACACAAGAAGCACTGTATAGGATACGAGCGGAAGCTTGGAGACTTGAAATTATTAGAAGGTACATTAACACTGGGAAAACCAATTGAAGATCTCTGGAAAGATATCTGGGCTAGTAACAGTGAGTAGTGAGTGAATGGTCAGCACATTGTAGTTAAGGCGGGGATGCTATGGGAAAGCAGGTAATTCCCTAGGAATACGTAGGGAGGAGGAAGAACCCAGATGCAATACCCTTACCAAATGCCAACACTGGTAAGCAAGGGGCTTCAAAACGCTTTCTGCATTCTTGGCTCCCGCGAGGCAGTCCACATCCCTAGGCGGGAGGGACTTACCAAGGTTTAAGCGCGGAAGGGCCCTTCAGGCTCAGGCAGACAACTGACGGTGGCGGCCAGGCTCCAGAAGAGCCGCCGAGAAGAGAGCCCGGGTCAGCGGATCCTAGAGAAGCGCACTGGGCCGCAGCCACCGAGGTTAACCGGCCAGCGCACCTGAGGACAGCTACCACAGACACCAGCGGAGGAGGGCCTGGCAAGCTGCCCGCGCACCGCCCACTACGTGAAAAGTTCCTCTCGGGGCCCCCGTCGTCCTCCGAGCATTCCGATTGGTGGAGATGACCATGGGACCTGGAAGTTGTCTTTGTCCGGCCAGGGCTGCCCTTCCGGTTCCGTTGGGTCCCCCTTTGGCTCAGGTTCCCTGCCCCTCCCCCTTCCCGGAGCCCCGAGGGGCCGGAGCTCCTGGCGGTGCGGGATCCTGACGGCGGCCTTCCCCTGGGTCTGTAAGTGTGGAGGCGGCCGGAGCGCCGGGATGGGGTGCGGGTTCTCTCAAAATAGAGCCCCCTTGGGGCCCTACTTGGGCCGGGAACTGCACTGGCACAGGAGCTGAGAGGCTGGCCTACGCCCCTGGGGAATTAAGGAGCCTGTGGCCCGGCCCACGCTGCGCCCCGCCTCTTTCCCGTCCCAGAGTCTGGAGCCGGGAGCTTGAGATTGTCCCTTGGACCGCCTCCTGGGACCCCGAGCGAGGGTTCTGCTCGTTGACCTAGACCCTGGACTCTGCATCTTGTAGAAAGTATCAGAGTTGGGCTCCCGAGCCACGGTGCCAGGCCCAAACAAGGCGATCAATGCCAGCCGAATCCCTTTCAATGGGGTTTCACTCAATTCAGTCATACTGGCACTATGCTAGGCACTAGGCACTGGCCAGCTGTCACTCCATTTTTCAGGATCAAGTTTGGGAGTCATTTATAAACAAAATAAGTGCTTCGGTAATATATAGTTATGTATCTGGTATATTATGCATACTAATATATATTAGGTAATTGTCTAATATTTGTCAAAGGCAGTTGCTGAGAAGTCTTGGGAAAGTGATATCTGAATTACACTTCTTGCCGAGGGTAAAGTGTGGAAGCTTTTTTCAGGTAGAAAAAACAGTTGAAGTGCTACTGAGAATGACTAAATATAAGGTGTGAGGAAAAAATGAGAGTGGAATGGGAGAGCTTCTTGGTATGGGATGGAGTTTGAAACTGGGAAAGTAGACCGGAGTTCAGATAGTCTCTTTTAGTTCTAAAAAAGATTAGTAGTTTTTTGAAGAGTTTAAGCAGAAAACAGCATTGCCAAAAATAATTTAGTTCTAGAGAAAGAGGAATTTCTTTTTAAAAATTTTTTACTTGTCTAATTATTTACTTATTGTTACCAGAAATTGAACTCAGGACCTTGCATTTTCCAGGCATGCACATGTGCTGCTGAGCTATATCCCTGGCCTCTATAGGAAAAGAATTCCTGATAGCTGAATGCAGATTCTTTTTTTTTTTTTTTTTTTTTTTTTTTTTTTTGGTTGTGCTGGAGATCAAACCCAGGGCCTTCTGCATGCAAGGCAAGAGCTCTACCTTTGAGCCACATACTCACTCCTGTGGCCTTTTTGGCTTCTGGCTAGGTACTCTTACTGGAAATTATTTTAAGGAGATAATGGAATCAGTGTGGTGAAAGACAGTTAAATCAGAAGTAGAGTTCTGACAGTGTTACTGGAAAAGAGACATGATTTAGATAACAGTGTCAGGATTTATAACTGTGCATTGAAAGAAAAAAGTTCTAAATTGATTCCTAGGTATTTGATATTTGCCTTTGATATTTGAAGAATAGTGATGTCATAACCAGAAATAAAAACATAAAGTTAGTGTAGATTGTACACTCAGATTTTATACATATTGAGGTAAAATCTAATAGGACAGTCACATAGAACTGTCCAGCCTAGAACAGAAATACAAAACCTGGAGATCAGCCTAAATGTGGTAGCCATAGGTACAGATTTGAGTTATTAGCATACAAGTGGAAGCCATGGAAATAACTGGGATCAACAAAGAAGTATTGAGAAAAAATGAGATTTGAGAAGTAATGGTTGCATTTGTGAAGCAGAAAGAGGAATTGGAGATAATAGTAATCACTGTAATAGCTGAAACAGACAGGAGACAAAGTGTAACAATTTAGGGCTCCAGCAACTAAGATGACTTAAGAAAATTTTGAAGAGTCCATTGAATAAGTTCATTTAAATTATCTGAAAAATGAAACAAGACAAATAGAAGATTGTTTATTAAGACGTGACTAGCCAAGTATGGTGATGCACACCTGTAATTCCAGCACTTGGAATAATGAGGCAGAAGGTTCACCTCAAGTTCAAAATTAGCTTAGGCTGCATACTGTGTTCAAGGCTAGCCTGTACTACATAGGGAAACCCTGGGTCAGCAGCTACCCCAAGAAAGAGATCATTAGTGACTGTGTGTGTGTGTGTGTGTGTGTGTGTGTGTATGAGAGAGAGAGACAGAGACAGACAGACAGACAGGGTCTCACTGTGTAATTCAAGCTGGTCTTGAACTCATTATGTAGTCCAGGCTAGCTTTGAACTCTTGGCAATCTTTCTGCTTCAGCCTCATGGGTACGAGTATTAGAGGTGTCTACCATCTTGCTTGGCTTCATTAGTGACCTTTTAAGAAGCAATTTTAATTTAGTGATGAAGTAGTGATATATGGAATATTAGAGGCCACAACTGTTTTGCCTTCAAATTGGAATGAGAATAGGATACATGTGAACAATTTTCACAAAGAAAATTAACCAGCTTTATAAAGCACAAGGCAATCCACCATTCTATACTCTTTAATATTAACTGATTTCATTTTCTGTAACAACTATGAAGTAATTTGTTTTTGGTAGGTAGGAAAACTGGGGCAGAATAGTTAAGCTAGTAGTTTGTTGAGCAGGGAAATATGGCTCCAGAGTCCATGATTTACCTGTTCTGCCATGCAGAGACAACATAGAAATCAAAGGAGCAGGAAATTTTTAGGCAAAAATAGACTTATTGATTGAAACGAAAAATGGAAAAGCTTTGGAAAGAGACCCACTTTTAAAAAATGGTAAGTAATGAATAATGCTTATGTGTTTTATTTCTTCCTGTCTTAGATCTTCTTCCACTGTATGCCAGTTTAGGTTTGTTTCTTCCACTCTCATACTTTCAGTTGTCACCTGCCAATTATAATCAGGTTTCCCCTGCAGCTTCAGTCCCAAATTGAACCAGCTGGTAAACTCCAGTGGATCACTTCATTCTTGGTATCATCTTAATATTCATCTTGATCTCATGTAGACTCTTCTAACTCAACAGTTTTGCTGCCAGATTTGTGATCCCCACTTTCGATGTCCTATAGTATGTTGAATGACATTGTCAAAGATATCCAGTCACTCAAACTTAGTATCTTGGAGTTGTCTTAGGCCTTCCTTTGTTGTTCCCCACCTTAGTTACTAAGTGGTTACTTTTCTCTTTCTTGGTTACTTTTCTCTTATTGCTGAGACAAAATACCTGATGCCCAAAATTAAGAAAGAAAAGATTTATTTAGCTCATAGTTTGCTCAAGTTTCAGTTCATAGTCAGCTGGCTCTAACTATAGCACAAGGGCAATACTTCAAGATAGCAGAAGACAGCAAAAGCAGTAAGAACAGTAAAAGCAAAAGCAATAAGCCTCTTCTCCTCTCATATTGTGAGCAGACTACCACTTCTGCAGTGTGAGTGTAGTACTACTCACCCCACCTCTGGCCGCTATCTTGCAAAGGCTCAGGATGTTTACAAAGTAATGACCCTGGTTCCCTGCTGCATCTCTTAGTTAAACTTATAAACTTCTCAGGTTGATACAATGTATTGACCATAACATCAAAATCACCAGTTCTTTACTTGAAACATCTCTCAAATATTTCTTTTGGGGGCTGGGGATTTAGCTTAGTGGCATAAGCACCTGCCTTGCAAGCAGGTGGTCGTAAGTTCAATTCCCAGTACGGATAAAAAGATAAAAAAAAGAAAAAGAAATGTTTCTTCTCATCCGTATAATCATTTTTTGTATTCAGGCTTACATCATTTCTGTCTTGGTTTGTTAGTATACTAAAAGGTTTCCTTGCCTCCAGAATTCTCCAAGCCTTCTTTTATTTTTTTACTTACTGAGTTTAATATAGTGTAAGAAGTGTGGGCAAGAAGTGACAGGCAGTAGCTTAGCGTAGTTACTCTCAGTGGTTTACATTAATGACTTCAATGAAAATGGAGAATTTAGGGCAATAAAGCATTGAGAAACCAGACAGAAACCAGTAAAAAATCAGACAGAGCTTTGAAGAGTTTACTTACTGTTTTGGAAGGTAGGGATTCGGACTTGAACCCAGGACCTCGTGCATATGTAGCCACTGAGCTACATTCCCAATCCCAGCTTTTCTTACCCTTAAACAAGGGGCTGGAGATTTAGCTTAGCAGCATAAGCACCTGCCGTGCAAGCAGGCGGTCATGAGTTCGATCCCCGGTACCGATAAAAATGAAAAAGACAAAAAAAAAAAAAAAAATTTAGTGCAGCAACAAGGAACAGACCTGCAAAAGGATCATAAAAAACTAAGGTCAATAGTTCGGGAACTTGTCCAGTTCTTTTTAACAATTTAAAAAGTATCGGGTTTTATCCTAGATCCCTGATCTCCCAAATGAGTGTATGGTAGGTTAAATAAAAAATGAGAAATAGTATGATTTGTAGGGCACCAGGAGGGTCAAAACCCTTTAGTTAAGCTGGAAGCTTCGAGGGTAAAGACAAAGGATTCTCTGGGTCAGTCCACTTATATTAGGACCAAGGACAAAGGGTGAAGAAACTGAGGAAAGTGCAGGCAATGAGCAGGACCTTGGGAGTCACTTTAAGGACGCCTCCAAGTCATGAATCAAGTCAATTTAGTAGCCCTGTCTTATCATGAAGACATGGTAGAAGTGAGACTGTAGGAGTAATCTTTGCAGCTGCAGTCTCTACCTTATTAATTGGGGTTGGAGCCAGAGTGTACCAGCTGTGTCCCTTATCTTGCCCTTTGAGGTATCTCTGGCCTCACAGGCCACTGCAGGCCTCAGCCAGGACCAGTTCATAGAGGTTTACTTACTATGAATCAGCTCCCATCGCCAGGCAAGGGGTCTAGACCTAGGACAGACTCACAGATAAACATAGAAAGCCAATTAGTAAAATGTAAATCGTGCTCAGAGCCGCTTTCCTTTGTAGTGGTCTCCAGTATCTCCTCCCTTTTGTTTTGTAACAACAGCTGGGTCAGGATGAGGCATGGTTGAATATTGTTTAGGAGTCAGCCTGTCTTGGCTGCTCTTCAACAGACTATGAATAGAATAAGACGAAACACACAGATTACTGCAAGAATACCAACATAAAGCCAGAAATGTACCTTCAAATAGTTGAATGGATTTAATTGGTCTAAAGCATTGGAAAATTTTTTTCAATCTT